GCGCAGCTTCCCTCCACCCCGCACTGGCTCAGAGGTACTCACCGCTGACTGCGCGCCCTGGTGACAGTACCAGGTCCTGGCCGCTCTCAGCCCGCGAGGCCTCGGGAGCCTCCTCCCACCCCGGCCCCAGGCGGGACCCGGTCGTCTCCCGGTGGGCCTGAGGCGGGCCGAGGCGCCTGGAGCGTGGGAGCGAGTCCTGGCGCTCCAGGCGCGGGTGGGCGGCCGGGAACTCAGAGCCGAGGACAGCGGAGCCTCCAGCGCAGAAGCCTCGGCCAGGTGGGCGACCAGAGGTCCCAGGGGCGGCAGGGCCCAGCCTGGGCCGGTGAGCAGGCCGCTATAGTACCCGCAGCATGGGACCTCAGTGCCACCCGCAGCCCCGTCCTCTTGCCGGAAGTGGGAGCCTGGCGTCCCCGGGCTCTGGACGTGCAGAGATCGGTTTTTGGCTCCGTCGTGACCACAGTGTGTTCAGCGATCTAGGATCTTGGCTTTGGGGGTGACCAAAGTACCTGAGGTTTTGGCACATCCATCCTCCTCTGGCTGATGGAGGGCCACAGCCTCTGCCAGGTGCCAGGGTGCCCTCATTTATGGGGAAACTATAATAGGAAAAAGCACAAGTTGCCACAACCCCAGGAGCTTTCATTCAAAATATATCTATGCCCCACCCTGCCCTCACTGAATCAGAAACAACAGCCCCATGTGACTCTGATAGCGGTGGGAGAGAATCTCACTACACAGCTCCTCGGAGAACCACAAATCATTTGCTCTTCGTTGGATAGGTACTAGCATCCCCACCTCATGACTGAGTTTCACAGAGGTCAAGTGACTTGCTCAAGTTCTCATGGTAAGTGATAGAGAAAGACCTACCTAGATCTGCCTAACACCAGAAGAGCTAGGAAACTGAAAAGTGGAGGACAGCAGGGACGGTTTGCATCTGTGGGGATGGGCCAGAGGAGGGTCTTACAAGTGGAGAAAAGTCTCCTGGGACTCCTTATCCCTGGGCAGCCCTAACTGAACAAACTTGGACCCAGCGTCCTTTTGCAGGTTTTGAATTTTGCCCAGCTAGCTCCTCTCCTCCAACCTGTCAGGGTATCTGCGTCTCCATGTAGATCCTGCTATAGCTACAATACAGTGGCTGAGGGCTGGACACCCCTGTGCCCTTCCCTACGGCAGCTCCAGAACGGGGCTGGTGCCTCCTGTTGCACCTGGGATGCTATGTTTCTGGCTTCTGCTTATGTCACTGCCACCTGTGAGGCTTACAGTGAGTCATTTGGCAGCCTTGGGCCTTCCTTCTCCCCAGTGTAACCAGAGATGCTCACACCTCCTTCTGCTCCTGGGAGTGAATGTGAGACTTAATTACTAGCACACCCCAGAACTGGTGAGGAGATGGCTCAAGGAGTGCTCCATGAGAGTGCTACTGGATAACACCCCCCAGGAAAGGCTGGGAGGACTCAGGAGCGAACTGGCTGGCCAGAGTCGGACGCCTTCATCCAGGTGGGGGACGGCTACAGATCAGCCCCCTTGGGAGCCCCAGAGACTTGGTTGGCTCTGCCTGGGGCTGTGGGAGCTTGATCTCTGCTGGCTCCATCCAGCAGTTTTCTGCCCCGGACAGAGCAGCCTTGTTCTCGCCTCCTTAGACACAGTCATTGTCTGGCACAGCGTATGGGGGTGAGAGGGTCCTGGGGCTTGGATGCCCTACAAAGGCCCAGTCTGGCATGACTCCTAAATTAATAATGTATTTAGCTGTGAGAAGAGATCCTTGATTGCCAAGGGCCTGGAGGAGGTGTCCCTCTGAGTGTGTTACAGCACAACCTGGCGCAAAAAGGGTTACCCAGAGCAGCAGCCATCTTGCTGCAGAGGATGCTTTGTTCCCAGCTGAGGAGATGAATAAATTCTTTCTAGGGCTGGTGGGATTCTCATCTAAAAGCCTCTTCTGCCACATTGGGGGCCTTCTGCACCCCTCCCCGGGTTCTGCAGAAGACACTTGAGCTGTTGAGTTGCAGCGCAGAAGTTCTGCGTCTGGGGGCGGGGAGGAAGGCGCTGTTTCTTTAGCCAAGGGCTCTGGGTTTGCTCACTGTGGTCAGATAAATGTTATTTCAGCTCTTTGTCTCCGGTACCTTCAGAGACCTGTAGTAGATTTTGTCTTTGAAGATGAGTCTACCCCTCCCCCATCTGACACCAGTTTCTTCTCTGTGTGCGCCCCCACCCCCACCCATCCCCAGGGGTCGGGTGACATTCTGACTTCTCCAGGGTACTCAGCCCGTTTCCCTCTGTTTTCTCCACAGCAAGCCCCACCCAACACGGACTGGCGTTTCTCTCAGGCCCAGAGACCCGGCACCAGCGGGTAGGTGACTGCCTCTCCAGCCCACCCTCTTCTCTGCGGCATTTTCTTGGTGATGACGTGGGAGGAGGTGGGGGAGGGCTCAGCATTTGCTACCAATGGCTTCTTCCCTCAGCTCCCGGTTTCAGGGAGGTTTTGGTGTATTGGGGGCAGTTATACAGACCCCAGAGGGAAGAGGCTATTTTGGAAGCTCAATTCACACACTCACCCCCTCCCTTCTCCCACATAGGGACCTTGTCCTATCTCCTGGGGGCTCTGTGACACCAAAAGATGGGTTTAAGGTGGTCTCTGCGTGGAGAGGAAGCTTATTAACCCACTTACTGCCTGCATCCCCCACTCTGGATTGAGCTGGGCTCCATCCTGACCTGAGGTTCAGGCAGAGAGACCTGGGGCAGGAGGAGGAGAGGAGCTGTCAGTAGTCAGAGCCTCCCTGGAAGCCTGCAGGATAGAGCAGAGGCAGAGGAGGGAGGTCAGGCAGCTGTGGGGGAAGGGAGGCAGCACAGCTGGAGGTGGGGCTGAGGAGGGGGGCTCTTGGGCAGGTCTCCCAGGTCCTGTCCCTCCTCCGGGCCACCCTGGGGCCTCCACTGGTCCTGCCCTCTCAGCCTGCAGGGCTTTTGTCTCTGCCACCTTCTTGTCTCTGCACCCTTCCCTCAGTCCCTGTGTCAGTTTACATCCCCTGCCTGTCCCTTTTCTTGGTCTCCATCTCCGTTTCTGTCTTTATTGCCGCCTCCCCGTCTTGTATCTACCTGTTGATCTGTGCCTCGCACTGCGCCCACCCGCCCTGGCCAGGTGCTCAATAAACATGGAATCAGTGAATAAATGTGACTTCCTAGTCTCAGTCTGTTTCTCCTTTTCTCTGTCTCTGCCTCCGTCTCCATCCTTGGTCTCTGCTCTGTCTCTTTTTCTTTCATCCTTTGCTAGTGTCCTTGTGTTCCTCTGTCCCCAGGCTTTGTTTCTCAGTCTCACTATTTCTGCTTTCCTCTCTATTCCCCGCCTCTTTGTGTCTCTGTCTCTATATCCCTCTAAGTCTGTTGTCTGTCCCTTTCTGCCTCATTGAGTGTCTTCCTCTGTTTCTCTTTATTTATCTCTCTGTCTCTCTTTTATCCTGTCTTTTATTTGGTGTCTCTGTCTGTCTCTCATTTCTTTGTACTTGTGGGCAAGCCAGCACACACATGCGTCCCCACCTCTCTCCCTCCCCCTGCCCCTCACACACAGAGCCTTTGATCAAGGCTTTCCAACACACACCCTCCAGTCCAGGCTGCCCCAGCTGCTCATTTCAATCTGGTATGAATTCCTGCTGAGACAGGAACCCCCTGCGGGTGGGGGAGGAGGGAAACTTCAGCGGAAAGACCTTCAGTTGGTCTGAGGGGAGTGGGGTGGGCTCTGGGCCAGGCCTCCCTGGTAGAAGTCAGGAGCCAGGAGGAGTCCAAGGATCCCTGGAGAGAGAGGGGGCAGAGCTTGGACTGCCTTTCCTGCCTCCTGGCTGGTGAGACTCTTGCTGCCCACATTTCCAGATGCTATAGATTCTGAGACCTCACTGCCCCAGGAACCCAGGAGACCTTGGTGTAGGGTGGAGACTCCAGCTCCTGGACAGGTCAGTCCTATCACTGGTATCAGGATCTCAAGGTACTTCCTAGAAGGCCCCTAAAAGGCAATGAACCAGATGGTTGGACTGCCCTTACCCTGTCCTGAACCCAGCTGTCTCCTTTCTCCCCACTGGCCTTGCCAGCCTTCCCATAGGTTATCCATTAGGTCATTCATGTAGTCATTCAAAAAATATTTATTGAGCATCTACGATGAGCCAGTCCCCATGCTAAACACTGGCCTATCATAGTGAAGAGGCAGGCATGATCCTTGAACTCATAGGCTTTCGTGCCAGCAGGGGAGACGGAAAATTGACAACAGATCACACACAAAAATGTCTAGGCTCAAATCATAGCAAGTTCAGAGAGGAAGAGGTTGATGTGAGTGTAGTGGTGGAGAGGGTTAGAGGAGGCACAGGAGGAAGTGACACTGAGCTGAAGTGTCTGTTTTCGTCACCTGCACCCCAGGCCATAGACTAGCCCTGAAGCAAAAGTCATTGCTGAACATGGAAGCCCCACCTGCTGCTCTGGGCTGAGCAGCTCTCCCCTGCCTCACGTCCCTGTTCATCAAATGAGAGACCGGGTCGCCTGACATACATGCGGGAGCTCTGGGGGAGATGGAGATGGCTCAAGAGCTCTCCCATCCTCAACCTCTCCCATCCTCAACCTGAGCGGGATCAGACAAGCAGTTCTGATCCAGCTCCAAAGTGGCCCAGACAAAGTAAGTGTTAGGAGCCCAGTCCAGCAACTGCAACTCCCCTTCATTCAATTAATAGTAAGACCTACTGCAGACCAGGTAGCACTCTAATACAGGATATAAAGACACACTCCCTGTCCTCAGGAGTTCATGGTGTTGAGGGGGACAAGTATTAATCAAATCATCACAAAAACATAAATGTAAGATTGAAGCTATCTTAAGTGCCATGAAGAGCAGTACATGGTAGTGAGAGCATAAAACAGGGATTTGACTTGGTCAGGGAGCAGGAAGATGCCCAGAAGGAAATGAGGCTGTGCTGGAATCTAAAGGATGATTATGAATTAACTAGCTGAAGGAGAGCTAAGAGCATTGCAGGTAGAGGGGTGGGGGAAGCATATGCAAAGGCCCTGTGGTGAGGCATCTCAGGATCAACAGAATGACAGGAAGTTTTTTTCTGTGCTGCCCTTCCAATGAGTAAATTGGAGTGAGGGCGTGATGGGAGAGATTTCTCTTACTCAATCTAACCCTGGTTCCAGCCCTCCACTGCTTTTCTGCCCCACTCCCTCCCCACCATCTTGGCTACTGGCATACCAGGTTCAAAATAGAGCTAGTGTTGACTTCTTCAGTAAACCTGGTCAGAGTTCAAGCCAGCACTGGGTCACGCTGCCTAGAGAAAGGGAACAGGCTCGAGTTCTGAAGTTCTTGCTTGCCAGGTGCTCCTCCTCCCCACCACTGTCCCCTCTCAGGTCATTCTTTTGGCGTCTGACCCCAACAGCTGTTGTCTCAAGGTCTGAATCCTGCAAGCCAGTTCTCCCGTCTCAGGCTGTAACCAGGCCCCAGCCTGCAGCTGTCCCCAGCCTCTGCACAGAGGAGAGTCTCCATGCAGCGTCCCCTGGTCCCCATTCTGTTCTCTTTGATAGTTTCACACAACCCTTCCCCACTCCCCACCCTCCTCTGAGAGACACTGTCCCTGCTCCCCCTCAGTTTGGGCAGTCATTCAACAAACAAGTAGCAAATTGTTGTTTTCTGTTCTTAAAATAGTACGTGCTCATTATAGAAACATGAGAAATAGAGAACAAATTTTGAAAAAGTACTTACAATTTCACAACCCAGTGAAACAACCACTAACATTTTTTTAATATGGAAAATTTCAAATTAAAAGCCCAGAAAAATAATAAAATGAACTTCTAGGATCCCACTACTCAACTCCAACTAATTCCCTTTCTTGTTTTACTTCTATCTCCACCCCCACCTTGATTTATTTTGAGCAATCTCAGACATCATATAATTTTATCTCAGTCTTCACTATATTTCACAGACATTTTAAAACATGTAAACACTAAAAATAATATTAACTAAAAAATAATATATAAGTAATAAATTAATAAACTAATATCACTAAATATCCAGTTTGTATTCACATTTTCCCAATTACATATCTCTCTGTTAATTCGTTTGCATGCTTATCCAAATTAAGCTCGCCTTGTTGTATTTGGTTGAGTATCTCAACTCTCTTAAACTCTTTTAGCATTTTCATCTGCATCTTCCTAAACCTTTTGTGTGTGTGTGTGTGCAGCCAAGGAGCATAGGCTTCCCCTTTTTAAAAAAATCTGATCACTTAAATAAACTGTTTATGAATTTGTTCCCAGAATACTGAGAACTTTCATTCCCAGTGAACCAGTATATTTCTCACCAGTTTTTTTTCCTTTGTAGCAATTAAGGTCCTACTGTTCATTAGTATTGTAGCTTTTTTTGGTCTTTGCAATATATCACAAAAGTTCCCCCGTGTCTATAGCAAATTCTTGAAAAATCATTTATTGCATAATAGCCCCTCATAGAGGGTGGGGCAAAAGTAGGTTTACAGTTGTGAGTTCGTGAAACACAGTTTATTGTTGCATTATTATTTATTAATTATTGTATTATTTTCCATAGAAATGACTGTAAACCTACTTTTGCCCAACCCTATATATGTATGTTTTTAAATGCTGATAGGCTTTTACTACATTGAAAATATATACATGCATTTAAATTTTATCGGTGAAATCTAGGCTGATACAGGAAGCATTTTATTAAAGCCCAGCCTCTGGGATGCTCCTCAGCACACACCCAGCACCAAGACGCAAGCTCCTTAGGGCAAGGACTAGATCTATCATCACTCAAGTCCTAGGGCCTGTCATGGGCACTGACGCAGTGGGTCCTTGGAGAAGGGTCAGTTAGATGTGGTCTCCCCTCTACTTTCATTTTCCATTGTTTCCCAAACCCTGGAAGGGCCCCTATACCTACTGCTGGGGGCCGAGGCCCTCCCTGCTGAAGCCGAGCATGTTGTCTATAAGGTCACAGGCTTTGGAGTCACACTGGGCCTAATTCAGGTTGCAGCTCTGCCATTTACCAGCTGTGTGACTCTGGGAAAGTTTCTCAACCTCTCTGAGTCCCGATTTCACCTGCCGGAAAATAGGGATAATCATAACACTTACCGCAGGAGGTCCTGAGGCTGAAACAGACCATATGTGTTATATATGTGTGTCCCAGTAAGCCTAGAGTCCAGAAATAGGAAGCTCTCAGGAACTGGTTCCAAAAGAAGCCCCCCCCCCCTTGCTTCACTCAGCCCCTGCCCAGCTTCACAGAGCTGGCAGGCTGACCAGGTGCTTGGCCTCCAACCTTTAACTGTTTCCCCAGATTTCTCCTTGCAGCCTGGCCCACCCCCTTCCACTTACCTTTATTCCCTCAGCACCACTACCCACCTCCACAGGGCACCTCCTAACCTGGCATCTGACCCTGTTGTCTACCTCACAGCCCCAAAGCTCTTCTCCTGGCTGCCCCCACCATCTGCTGTCCCCACTCTGTCCCCATTAGGCCCTTCACCTAGGCCTGAGCCCACCTGCCTCAGCCCTGCGCCCCCAGGCAGGCCCGCAGAGAGCTCTGAGGTTGCAAGTCAGGACTTCTGGTGACAGAGGTGGCTGAGGCCCCATCACTGAGCTCCTGTCCTCCCAAAGCTAACCGCAACCCTCTCACAGGAGCAAGAGTGATTTAAATACTTAAATTGATCATGACAACCCCCCCTTTAAACACCTCAGTGGCTTCCCAGAGCTCTTAGGATGAGCCCACATCTCTAGTGTCTGCTCTGCAGGTCCAGCCCCTGATACCACCTCCCTGGTGGCAGCCACACTGGCTTTTCCTTTGTCCTTCAACAGGCCTGGCCTCCCCCAGCCCGGCCTCCCCAGCCTCGGCACGTTACTCCCCCGCCAGGAAAGCTCCCTCCCCAGCACCACGCCCTCTCCTAGGTAACTGAATTTGAGCCCTCAATTTTTTACTTTGAAATGTTTCAAACCTCTCAAAAAGTTGAAAGAATAGTATGCTGAACATCTGAATACCCTTTTTACCTAGATTTATCATTTGTTAGTATTTTGCTCATTTGTTTTATCCCTCTCCACACACACACACTCACACACACACACACACACACACACTCACTCACTCACACATACACACTCATGCCGTCAAGGTCTCCCCTCCACTGGTGCCAAGTCCTCATAGTGACCTGACACTCTCCACGGGCCTCTTCCCATTCATTCAGGCAACAAATATTTATTGAGGAACTTCGGTGTGCCAGGCGGTGCCACGGGTCGCCTAATAGACTGTGTGTGTCAGGGTGCTTCCCCCTCTCCTCAAAAACGGAAATGATTTGATCCTTGAAAATTCCAGAAAAGCATGGAAATGGTCACTATCGGAAAAACCCAAGTTGGGTTGGAATTCCTTAGGGCTCTCTAACGGTTAGCGTTTCTCACGATTATGAATCACCCTGTGCTTTTCTCACTGCTTAGAGCACCTGAAGGGCTAACGAGGCGCCGCAGTAGGAAGCAGGCACAGTCTTGCCACACAGAGCTGGAGCTGGGGGCTTGGGTGTCCCCCTGACAAACTGTTTATTTGATCAAGGCAGAGGATGTGAGCTGGCATCCCAGAGAACAGGGGCTTCTGAAGGACTGTGTAAATTACCCCCTACTTTGCTGAAAGGGAGCAGGGCTTGGGTGTAGTGGGGGGATAGGGTACTAGGTTTGGGAGCCCTGGGAGAGGACAGGAGGGCCATGAGCTAGGCTGGCCTTGGACACTGTGCTTACCATCCCTCTCTCTCTCCAGCTCCCAAAATGGCGATGAAACCGGCACCTGGCCCAACAACCAGTTTGACACAGAGATGCTGCAAGCCATGATCTTGGCCTCGGCCAGCGGTGAGTTGTGCCAGTGTGTGTGTCGGGGTGGGAGGCCCGGGTTCCGGGGCATCCCACAGCACCGTGCCCTGAGACTGGCCATCAGCCTGCTGGTTCTAGAGGACTCATTACTCCGGAACATCGAGCCAGGCTAAGGAACTGCTGAGGGACGGGGGGTCCTGGGATGCCCAGAGGGGGGTGAACAAGGAAAGATTCATGGAGGAGATGTGGGAAGTAGTGCTTGAGAGTCTGGCCCTGAAAGGGAACAGCATGGGTCCGGTCCCAGCTCTGCCACTTATGATCTTTGTGACTTTGATCAATGTGCTTAATTTCTCTAAACCTCAGTTTCCTCAGCTTAGAAAATGGGGGCAGAGACCTCAAAGGGCTGTCGTGAGGATTAAATGAGATGGTACCACAAAGCACGAAGCACTGGGTCTGGCGCATAGGCCCTCAATCCAGGATGGGGGGGTATTCCCAGCAGAGAGAACACACTTTTGATATGTGAGACCCCTTCTCTTTTGCTAACCCACCTTCGGAGCAGGATTTGAGTTTTCCCACTTGGCTAATGAAGAACTTCACATGAAATAGCGATTCAGTTGATGGTTATTGTCTCTAAAAACTCACAAGGACTCTGAACAGGGGGAGTAGAATAATATCATTAGTACTTAAGAGCACAGGCTTTGGAGGCAGGTCAACATGGACTCAAATTCTGCCACCCCTGTGTAACTGTGAGTCCTCTGGGCCTCAGTTTCACTCACCCTAAAATGGGTACAATAATAACAGCTCTCATTGTGATGTTATGAGGGCCTCAGCACAGAATTGATGAGAGTAAGGGCACAATATGTACTGGCTAAAACGGATTATTATCTTTATTGATCCATAGGAGCAGATAGAAGGCAGAATTAGAATAATGCCTATTAATAAGAACTAGCTTCTGGAGCAGCGAATCCTCGGCTTCTATGGGAGCTGGTGTAGGATTAAGGCATTGGCCTTACATAGTAACTGAGTGCCCTGCCCTCCAGTATGGAGGGCTGGTGGGCAGAGAACCAGGTAAAATCAGAACAATAGTCACCATAACCATGCCCGTGTATCAGCCCAGGCACATGCCGGACAAACCATATGGGCCTCGTGTCAATGAGCCCTCTCAGCAGCTCTGCAAGGCAGGTCTGATTACTTCCATTTGACAGACCAGAGAAAACTAAGATTCCTGAGAACTAAGATTCCGGAGAACTAAGATCTCTGAGGCTGCAGATTCTAACCCTGCCTGGCTCCCAAGTTTATGTTCTTTCTGCTACAGATCCAGCCTCGGTTTCCCTCTTAGCTGACTAGGTCTAGAGGCTGAAATCTCACTGCCCTGCACTATTCTCCCAGGTTAGGGCTGCCAGATAAAACACAAGATGATCAGTTAAATTTTAACCGCAGATAAACAACAAATAATGCTTTAGCATAAGTAGGTCCCAAGCGTTAGTACTGGGACATACACCACTAGAAAGCTGTTCGTCGTTGGCCTGAAATTCATATTTAACTGGGCACCCTGTGTTTTTATTTGCTAAACCTTGCAGGCTTCCCCCAGATGTCTGTGAGGCCGAGGGGGGCCAAGACTGTGCTTGGGTAGGGAGAAGTGGTAGAGGCGACAAGCCTTCCTGGATGGAGGGTGGAGCGGAGCCCAGAGAGGCCCGATGCTGGGTTTGGGGAGAGGCCAAGTCGGTTCTTGAGGGAAGTAAACTAAACAGAGAGTCAGGTATATTTAGCTCCAGTGGCCTTGAAGTGGCTCTAAGGCTAGGAAGTGGGCTTTGTATCCTAAATCCAGATTTTAAAAACAGAAATGGAGTATTTATGGCCCCAAACCCTCCTCAAAGGTCCCCTGGGTCAACGCAGGCTGGCCTCCCTCTCAGGGCTCCTGCCTCTGGCCCACACAGGGCCTGACCTGGGTGTAAGCCTGGGCTCTGGGGAGCAGGCCCTGAGGGTGGAGGTGGCAGGGTCAGGCCCTACTCTCACTTTCACACCCGCCTCCTTGCCCTGGAGCCAGAGAGGTTCCTGGAGTCCAGCCCAGCCAGGCCTGTGGGGCTGCTGAGGGGGAGTAAGTAGGGGGGAGAGAGTAAGTACACTTGGGAGGCCTCTTAAATAAACATTTCAGGAGGAGGTGTGCTCTCAAGGAGCCTGCGGTTTGCAGTTCAACTGGCTGGGGTCGAGCTTGACCAGGCCTCCCTGGGCTGCTCTAGAGTTGCTGCACTCAGCCCTGGGGTAGGAGGGCAGGAGGCAAGGGGAGGTTATGGTGCCTGGAGCTGTTTCCCCAGGAGACACTGGCACCAGAGAGGCCAGCACCACTCCCACCTCCTCCAAACCAGAGGATGCCCAGCTTCCTTCCTGCTGCTCTTCCAAGTCTGTTTCTCTTGACCAGGAAGATCCTGGTCTCTGCCCAGTGTGGGTCTTATGGGGGAAGAAAGAGGGGCCATTGGAGAATTGATTCTATAGAAGGTCAGCCTGCAATCCAACACCTCCCTCAGATTCACAGACGGGAAACTGAGGCCTGAATCATGCAGAGCCTCTGTCAAGGTCCCACAGCTCCTTAGTGGCAGAGCTGAGCAGACAGAACTGAAGGGTCAGCCTCTTTCTGTTAGGATTCTTCTTCCTCTGGTCCAGCTCAGCTCCACTGCACCCCACAGGGCCAGGGTGACTTTAGCCAGGCTTCCGGGACAAGGTGGCAGTGGCTGGCTTTGTCATTTTCACCCATTCTGGTGTCTTCAGAGATCTTGGGTGGGCCTAGGATGTGGATGGGCCTGGCTTCCAGTTACCCGGTCAAGCCCCTTCTTTCCTTCTGTTTCTGCCTCTCTCCCCCGTTTCTCCCAATGGGCTCTTTTTTCGCCCTCATTCCCTTCTCCCCCCCCCTCCCCCCCAGCGCGCTCTCGCTCTTCCGAGTTCCAAAGCATCCCCTCTGGCCCTTAAATCACTCAGGAATCCAGCTCCTGAAGCCCGACCTGGCCCCCTCCCCCCAGGCTGGAAGAGGGAACGTGGGAGGGGAGGGGCCACAGTGGGGGTCCCAGCTCCCTCCTGGAGTCAATTAGGGGAAACAGAGAACTGTTAGTGCAACGAAAGGGCTGGGG